GCGCCTCGCTCGCCGAAGGTCCGAGTTGCGGCTCGCGCGGTACGCCTGGCCGGAGTACTCGCCCCAGCGGCCGCGGCCGCCGTTGGAACCGCTGGGCACCGGCCGGGGGATCCGCCCGAGGCCGCTGTACGTCCTTCCGCCGGGGCCCATCTGCATCGCCGGAGCGCCGGCCCGCAGCTGGGGCGCCGCGAGCAGCCCCAAGAGGACCATCACGCTGTGGGTTGGTCTGTGGGGGAGGAGAGGGCGGCGGGATGAGCCCAGTGAGCGGTGTGTGTGCCGGGAGGGCAGGGCGGAAGGCCAGCCACATTGTTGAGAACGTTTTGGCACACACGCGAAGCATGAAAAAGAATTTAAACAACAACTCTCTCTCACAGCACACAGGCTCGACACAGGTGCGAACTGGCGCGTGCTAGCATGAAAAAGAATTTAAACAAAACAACTCTCTCTCACAGCCTGGAGAGACGGATAGCGCACCACACACCTCTCCTTAAAATCCCTGTGTGGTGGCGGCGTGCCGTCCTCCCATCCCTCCCTTGGGTTGTCTGTTTTCTTTCTTTCTTTCTTTAGCCTGGAGAGAACGACGAGAGTGGGACGGCCGCGAGGTGGCATGAAGGTTGCAGCGAGAATCGGCGAGAGACTGCGAAAAGAGATAAGGGAGTTCTCAATGAACACACCAGTGAGGGAGGGCGAGACGATCGAGGGGTCCCGTACCATGCGGAATTGATTGATTGATGGGAAGGCGAAACACAGTCCGACCAACGACTGGGACACCAACGCGGTATGGGTGAACGCTAGACGCGGAACCGACCCTATCCAGAGGACCAGAGCTCAGGAACTCGGAGTTCTTGCAAATTTGCCGCTCCCTCGCAGCCAAACCGCCACATTGACCCCGACCGTCGCTCTCTGGGTGCGCGCGCGCGCGACGCTTGCGCAGCCAGCCCTCGGACCAGAGCTGCCGCGCCCCGCGCCACCGCCGCCCCTTCTCGCCATCCACGCACCGCGACACTGCCGGCATCGCCCGCAACACTGTTGGCGCCGCCCGCCGCTCTCGCCGACTCACGCCGCTCTGCCCCGTACCGTCGCACCAGGCGGCTATCTCCGCCGATGGCCGACCTCGACGACCTCTTCCTCGACGAGGAGCCCGCGCCCTCGCTCGCCGCCCCCCGCAAGGGCCGCCTGCAGAAGGGCCGCGCCGCGTCGCCCGAGAACAAGCCGCCGCAGCGCAAGAAGGAGAAGCTCGGCCGCAAGCGGCCGGCGGCGGCGGCGCGCTCGAAGTCGGGCTCGGACTCGGACGCGCCGATCGCCGCGCCGAGCGCCAACCCGAAGAAGAAGAAGCCCCGCCCTCCTCCGCCGAGCGTGTCGGCGACGTCCGGCTCCGAGAGCTCCGCCGACGAAGAGGGAGCTGTCGCGCGCATCACGGCGAGGGCGAGCCCGGCGCAGCGCGCGGCGCGGCGCGCGGCGCGCTCGTCGGGCGCCGCCGCCGAGCGGGGCGGCGGAGGCTGCTACTCGGACGGGCTGAGCGGCAGCGGAAGCGGCAGCGAGGAGGCGTCGGGCTCGGACTCTGACTCGGACTACGGCGGAAAGAAGAAGAAGAAGAAGAAGGGGGGCGGCGGGGGCAAGGGGGAGGGGAAGGGGCGCGGCGCGAAGGCGGCGCGCCACTCGCTCCTCTCCGAGTCCGACGGGGACGGCGGCGTCGGCCCAAAGCCCGAGAAGCCCGCGCTGAAGCGACTCGCAGCGCAGTACTCGGACCGGCCGGCGCGCGAGGTGAACCAGCAGCAGCTGCGCTCGGTCGACTTCCTCGTGGTCGGGTCGATGGGCAAGCGGTCCTCGTGGAAGCTCCCCATCCGCGAGCTCGGCAACAAGTACAACGTCGAGCTGCTCGCGAAGGCGCGCAAGGTTGTGCGCGCCGACGCCGACGGGAGCAAGAAGGCCTCCTTCCCTATCCCGGACGGCACCGCCGCCAAGGTCGAGCACCTCTGGCGCGAGGCCAAGCAGTGGCTATTCTTTTGCAGCACGCGGGGGCCGTTTTCCCAACCGCCCCGCACGGCTTCCAAGGCAAAGGCCGCGGCGGGGCCGCCCGCCAAGCGCGTCAAGGCAAGCATGTCCGCGCCGGCGCGCAGCGAGAGCGAGAGCAGCAGCGACGCGCCGATCGGCGGCGGCGGCGCTTCGGGCAAAGCGGGGCTGCGGCAGAGCAAGGGCGGCGGCGCGGCGGCCGGCGGCGGCGGCGACGAGGAGAGCGGCGGCGGCAGCGACGTTCCGATTGGCGGAGGAAGGCCGATGGCGGCGCGGCGGGCGGCGGCCGGGTCCCCGGGGCTCCGGTCGGCGGCGGCGCGCGGCGCGGAGAGCGGCGGCGAGGCGGAGGAGGAGGACGCGGACTACGTCGACGGCGAGAGCGACGGCGGCGGCGGCGGGGTCGGGCGCGGCAGCGACGAGGAGGCGGAGTACTTGGCGGAGATCGAGGAGCAGCATGCAAAGGCCAAGGTCAAGGACCGCTTTTGGCGGCGCGACGCCGACTTCATCGCCGACGACGACGAGGAGGAGGAGGAGGGGGAGGGGGAGGGGGAGGAGGGCGGCGGGGGCTACGACGACGAGGCGCTCGAGGAGGGCCAGCGAGGGCCGAGGGCCGCCGAGCTTCCGCTGCACGTTCGCCGGCTCGACGACGCGGACCTTGACCGGATGCAGTCGGAGACGCAGCGGCTGCTGCGGCAAGACGAGGCAAAGCTGGCGGGCCACAGCGAGAAGGCGATCCAGAAGAACCACCTGCTCGCCTCCATCCAGCGGCGCAGGGTGGAGGTTGCAGTGGAGAGGGCGGCCAAGGTTGGCTTCGAGGCGGACGAGGACGACGTTGCGGAGGGAGGCGGGCTTGCGGCGGTGACGGCGCCGAGCAATGAATGGGTTGGCAGTGAGGCGTTGGTCATGAATAGGCGGGCTTGCGGCGGTGACGGCGCCGGCGAGGCTGTCGTGCAGCCACTGCACAAAGGCGCTCACGTCCAAGGACGATCCGGCGCAGTGCCTAGACTCCTCCTAGACACCTCCTAGTCACTTCCTGGACACTTCCTAGACACCTCCTAGACACTTCCTAGACACTTCCTAGACACCCCTTAGACACTTCCAGCCACTTCCTGGACACTCCCTGGACACTCCCTAGACACTCCCTAGACACACATCCGATGCAGTGCCCGGCGGCGCGCGTTCCCTTCTCCATTCTCAATGACTAGTGGCTGGTGAGGCACGTGTTGCGTCACAGGTGCAGTGCCCGGAGACGCGCTCCCTCTACTGCTCCACCCTCTGCTTCCGCATGAAGAGCGAGGCGGCGGCCGCCGTGGCCAAAAACACGGCGGCAGCGGCGGGCGCAGCGGCGGAGGAGGCGGCGGCGGAGGCGGCGGCGGCGGCGGCGGCGGAGGCGGCGGGCGGAGGCGGCGGCGAGGGCGACGAGGAGGACGAGGACTTGGTGGTGCTTCCGTCGGGGGCGACGCCCAAGGCGGACCGGTCCAAGGCCTTCCTTCCTAGACGCTTCCTAGACACTTCCTAGACACTTCCTAGACGCTTTCTAGACACTTTCTAGACACTTCCTAGACACTCCCTAGACGCTTCCTAGACACTTCCTAGCCCAAGGCAGGCCGGTCCAAGGCCCGCCCTCAAGAAGAAGAAGATCCGGCGCAGTGCCTCAACCCTTCCTAGACACTTCCTAGACACTTCCTAGACACTTCCTAGGCCGCCCTCAAGAAGATGATCGGCGCTGAGGGCGTCAAGGCGCGGGCGGGTGCGGCGCGGCGCGGATCCCTGCTCACGCGGCTGCGCGTCTCGGTCCGACCCCCAAGCCACCTAACTCGGGCGGATCGTCGCGGACGGGTATGACTTCGGGGGCGGGGACGGGCCGCCGAAGCTGACGCCCGGAGCGCCGGGAGAGCGCACGCTGCGGCACGGTCTGAGCAGCCTGGCCCGGTCGAAGGAAGGGCTCGCGCCGCCCTTCACCTTTCTCAACCTCGGCATCCTCGCCTACGTCGGGAAGAGCGAGGCGCTCGTCCAGATCGCGGTCGGCGGCGACGAGGGCGGCAAGAAGGTCAAGGGGGCCGGGGAGGCGGGGTTCGCGCTGTGGCGCAGCGTCTACCTGAGCAAGCAGTACGGGCTGCGCAACCGGATTCTGGTTGCGGTGGATTGGGCAAAGGCGCGCGTCTTTGGCCGCGACCTATCGCGCTTGTGAGTAGAGGCGCGGCGAGAGGCGAATCACATGCAGCGCGCCGCACAGACGCTCGCTCTCCCTCCCCCCATGTCGCATGATTTTATTTTTCGAGGCGACCGTGTATCCGTGAACATGAGAGAAAAATCAA